AGAAAAGAAAAGAAAAGAAAAGAAAAGAAAAGAAAAGAAAAGAAAAGAAAAGAAAAGAAAAGAAAAGAAAAGAAAAGAAAAGAAAAGAAAAGAAAGGGAATGGGAAGAAAGTTTGGCCCGGGATGCAGTGAAGTGGTTTGGGAGGCATTTCAGTTTCGCCAAAACATTTTGTTTTCTGCAACGGGGTTAAAAGCACTTGAAAACCTGTGTAATGCAAAGGCGTTTGAATCCTATCCTGTACTTTTCACTTCAAATTGAAGTGAAAAAAAAAAAGTAGAAAAAAAAGGAAAGATTGGAGAACCGTTTGCTTGGAGGAAGCAGATGCTGCAGGTCCCATGGTCCATGTTCAAGGCACCTGTGCTGGGCAGGGGTCACCTCACAGGGTGCAGAACAAGCAATACGGGTTGACAGAGTTGAGAGAGCCAAAAAGGTGGGGTTTAGCAGTCAGATTTGAACTGCACCACGCTTTGAATTTGCAGAAACAAATGTTGTGGGTTGAATTGCTTCAAATTTCGCATTTTTCTCATAGTTTTAAGCCACAGCTGCAGTAGGCAAAAGCTGAGCTTCCCAGGGCTGGCAGCGGTGGCGGATGGAAGATGCCAGCCTTGGTGGCCACTGGTGAGGATGTTCAAGCTGTGATTATTTGGGTTCCTGCACAAGCCAGCCCGTGTCTTAGGCCCCCTGTTACACTTCTCCCTCCTCCACCTTCACTGCCAGTCCTTATTAGCAGCCCAATAAAATCTGTTTTAGATGATACTTGTATTTCTTTATTCAATGTCACTTTGAACCCTCTCTTCTACTATAATATGTACATTTAACAATATACCAAGGCTCACTTTTTAGCTATGCCAGAAGCTGGAAGATACTCGGACGTTGATGGAAGGATGGATGCACCCATGGGTGCTGAGAGAACTGGTGAGTTCTGAAGAACAGAAGAGTTGCTGGAAGACTGGAAGAAAGCTGGAGTGACTCCAGTCTTCTAAAAGGACAAGAAGGAGGACGCAGGCCAGCCAGCCTCACCTCCATGCCTGGAAAGGTGATGGATCACCACATCCCGGAGACCGTCTCTATGCATGTCAAAGGAGAAAGGAAAAGAGCGGGACCAGGAGTAGTTAGCACGAATTCACCAAGGGAATGTCATGTTTAACCAGCCTGGTAGCCCCTTCTACAAAGGGATGACTGGCTGAGTGGATGAGGAGAGAGCATAGATGTTGTCTACCTTGACTTCAGCAAGGCTTTTGATACAGTCTCCCATAATATCCTCATAGAGAAGCTCAGCAATTGTCAGTTGGATGAGTGGACAGTGAGGTGGATGAGAACGGGCTGAATGGCAGAGCTCAGTGTGTCAAGAGTCTAGCTGGAGGCCCGTGTCTAGTGGTGACCCTCAGGAGTCAGTGCTGGGCCTAGTGTTGTTCAAGTTAACCATGAGTCAGCAGTGTGCCCTCATGGCCAAGAAGGCCAGTGGGATCCTGGCTGCATTGGGAGGAGTGTTGCCAGCAGGTCAAGGGACCTACTCAGCTCTGGTGAGGCCTCACCTGGAGTATTGGGGGCAGTTCTGGGCTCCCCAATATAAGAGGGACGTGGAGCTTCTAGAGAGGGCCCAACAAAGAGTGACAAAGATGATTTGGGGACTGGAACATCTATCTTATGAGGAAAGCCTAAGTGAGCTGGGCCTGTTTAGCCTAGAGAAGAGAAAACTGAGAGGAGATCTGATCAACATGTACAAATTCCTGAGGGGAAAGTGTAGGGAAGATGGTGACAAACCTCTTCTCGGTGGTGGCCAGTGACAGGACAAGGAGTAAAGGGCACAAGCTGAAACTCAAGTAGTTCCATCTCCACGTGAGCAGGAACTTCTTCACTGTGAGGGTGACAGAGCAGTGGAACAGGCTGCCCAGGGAGGTTGTGGAGTCTCCTTCTCTGGAGGTCTTCAAAACCCACCTGGATGCCATCCTGTGCCCTGTGCTCTGAGTGTCCCTGTTGGAGCAGGGGGTTGGGCTGGATGATCTCTAGAGGTCCCTTCCAGCCTCAGCCATTCTGTGGTTCTGTGATCTTGTGAAATCTCTGCCCAATTCACCGTCTCAACCCACATGAGCCCCGCCAGTGAAAGTTGGCCTCAGTTTGCAGTAGTTAATAATTATTTAGTAAGGCAAGGACTGCAGGGAGAATTAGCGATATGATGCTGTTGGTATTATTTATTTGCCCTTGTTTTATTATTTTTTCTTCTTCTCTCCAAGCTGCAGCTGCTGAGGAGCCAGATAAGCCTGTGCTGCCCTAATGAAAGTGCCACGCAGCAGCAGTGGCTCTGATTGGGTCTTCAGGTCACGCAATGCTGCTTGTCCCCTCTGTGCCTGTTTAGGGAAACATTAACTCTTGGGAGTAGAGTTTTGGTCGGGTCCAAAATCCCAAACTCTCTGCCCTGCAATACTCCCTGCTAGCAGTACCCAAGCAAATGTGGGCAGAAAAGGCTGAAATACCAAAAAAAAAAAAAAGAAAAAAAAAGGAAAAAAATTTTTTTACATATATATACATATTTTTAACAGCATTGATTTGGCTTGGTTTAGCCCTTTGCAAGAAGGTGCATTGATGTTTTAGCAGGAGGCCACCAAGGTGGCAGGATGGGCAATGGCCATCATAGACACTGCCCAGAACTCTCCAGCCCTGGTCAATACCAGCAAGAGTAGCAACCAACCTCTTCCCACAACCAGGAGGACAACTCTTACCAATGGGCAGCAAACATGGTAGTTATTCTCTTGATGCCCATTGTGGAGCTGAACTTTCTCAGCTGGGCAAGGTCAGCACAGGGTCAGCCAAGGTAGGGGATCGACCTTGCCTTGCTCCTTCCCAGTAAACACCAGGGCTCTGGCTCCCCTCCAGATAGGACAATCCTGATGTTGGCATCACTGTATAAAACCAAAGCGACTCCCACACTGCCACCTTCCTGCATGACCATCACTGACATCTTCACATGGTGTCTGGGCTTAAATCACTGTACCCTGCTAGTCTTCACGCATCACGTGCCAGCACTGCCCAGTATTGCTGATCCAGGGCTCGCTTTAGGGGCTCGTCAGCCAAGAGGCACCAGAGGCGAGGTCCAAGCAAAGGGGTCATCTCAGGGATGTGGCAACATGGCAGTCCCACACCAGCATTTTCCAAGGTCTTCCAGGAGGACCAGCGCTGGTCACAGTGCAGGAAAACATCCTTGCAGCCCTCCAGTGCTTCTTACATGAGGAGCCCTGAGCTCACAGCAGAGACAGCAGCCCTAAAGAAAGGCTTAAGCCACTTTTCATGGCAGTCTAAATTTTCAAAAGTTGGAAGACTTTTTACTAAATATCAAAAATATCTTCTAAAAGGACGTAATAATCTGCTTCATAGAGACTGGCTCCCCTTTCCCTCTTGGTTTTCTCTTCCTCAAAGGCATTGGGACTGTGCCAAGATAAAGCCTGGGGAGCAGCAGGAGGGAACTAGGACATTCTACACTTGCAGTTTTTCACTGAAATGTTCAGCAGGAAAATAGTGTGGCAGAGCAGGAGAAACGAGCGTCTTGAGGAAGGAGCCCACTCCAGAGCTGCATCCCTGTGTGCAGCTCCCACTTCCCAGCAGATCATTCCCATCCATTAGGGAAGGAAGAAGGTGCTTGAGGAGTAGCATGTTCAGAGGATCCTCTCTTTTTATACTAACCTTTCGTTGTTTTTTTTTCCCCCCTAAACTGGAGTCTTTTCCACATTTCTGTGTTCTCTTGTCCTCTCCTGCTCATCCCGTGCACAGAAGCACTGTCATGGAGCGCTTCTCCATGACAGAGAAGTGAGCTCATTCCAAATCTTGTAAAACCATTTGCAGCCCTGAAGCCCTTCCAGCTCCAGCTTGGATCAGGGACAAGCAGCTTCCACCAGCAGCCAGGTGCATGGGAAGCTGACCAACGCAGCTACGTTTGCATGACACCAACCCCAGACAAACCTTGCCAGACTCCGCTTTGTGCCTATGCCTCCTTCTCCCCCTTGGGTTGACCTGTCAGTGTTTCCACAGGTAGATAAATTGCTTTTTGGCAGGCTGGAGCTGGTCCCCAGGTTTCCAGTTCATTATCCCTGGGTATTTCCATCCGGAAATAGGATAGTGAAGTAGAGACCTCTGCCCAAGCAAAGCTGGCTAAACTCAAGCCAGGTGCTGTCGATAGTTATATTAGCACGGATTTGGGCTGGAATTAACATTCCCTGCTTTTCAGCAAGGCTTTAAGGCAATTCTGCTCCACCACCCAGAGCTGCCTCAAAACCACTGGCTCTCGTGCAAACGCCTTGGGGTAGACCCCAGCCCCAAGGTTTCTCTTCTCATTTTGCTACTTTGAGCTGCTCTGGGAACAAAATTC